ACCAATTTATTGATTAGTATCTGTCATTGTGCATGTTGCATTTAAAAATTGCAAATTTTCAAAAGATTCCATAGAAACAGGGGAAAAGTGAAATTTCTTTAACTTAGGAGTTGATGGTTGTCCAGCCTTTGCTAAGGGGTATTCTTATAGTGTGAGAAAAAATGAAATTTTGTCCAGTTCGGGACGTCATAAGCTAATGCTTGCATTAGCAGATTCTCTAGATATTATTTTTCTTCTTCCTGGGAAAATTTTGTCCACGAGTGATCTTGAAATGTTTTTAGGGTCAGTAATGTAGACTTGCCGAACGAAGATCATTTTGCGCGCACGTGCTTGCAAGAGCGGGCACGGGCAACGCGTGAAATGACCAATATAATGTATACTACGGTACCGTAACTTTTCTATTTTTTTGGTGAAATGTTTTGAAACTCATAATGTAAGGATATATTAGTGGTATAAACAAGATGACATGGTCAATATAGGAAGATCTTACGCACGTGCACCTGTGCTTCGCTCTAATTGGCTGAAACTAAAGTCTCAATATCTTTCTTGTTTTACGTCATTATCATTTGAAATTTTGAACTTAGTCACACATTATCAAGATCTACGGATAATATATAAGAATTTTCATGAAAGCACGTACATGCACGTGTGCTGGCAAGAGCACGCACTTGCAACATATAAAATTACCAATATAATGTATGTAACGTAAACTTTTCTATTTCTTGATGGATTTTTTTGAAAATCACAATGCATCGATATATTAGTAGTATCAACAATATGACGTGGACAAAATAACAAGATTTTACGCGAATGCACGTGCGCTTCGCTCTTATTGGCTGAAAGTAAAGTCTTAATATCTTTCTTGTTTTACGTCATAATCCTTTGAAATTTTGAACATAGTCATACATTATGAAGATCTACAGCACGATATATAAGAATTATCATGTAAGCACGAAAATCCACATGTGCTGCAATATGATTGGTTGAAACTTACAATGCCTATAACTTTCTTGTTTCTCAACAAAACAGGATGAAATTTAAAATATGAATAAGTATAATGGATATCTACATGATACTACTATCAAAATTGAATGCAAGGATGTGCTTGCATGTACAGTACCGACCGGACACAACCTAACACCAGAGCAAACCCGGAGCGGACCCCGGGTTCGCTTCCCTGGTTCGCTCGGGGTCCGCTTCGGGTTCGCTTTCAGAAATTTTGGGACAGCTCCGGGTTCGCTCCGCGTTCGCTCGGGGTCAGCTCTGGGTCCGCTATAGCGAACTTGGCGTTCGCTTTCTGGGACCGCTTTACGCATTGATGCGTGAAGCGGACCCCGCTTTAATCTCACCGCAAGTAAGCCCCGCCCCTTGTATATTCCAATACAGTAATGGTATTGTTGATCGATCATTGTTGTTTATGGGACGATGCGGACATGTGAACAGTAATATAATGGAGAACATTGATAATTTTTTCTTATATTCAACTGTACATTCGACATAGATTTACATGTACATGAAGAATTGATTTCCTTGATTTCTCGATCCCGAGAAATTCAAACTAATTTAACGGCGGGTTATAAGGCATTTATTTTTCTTAAGTTATAACCAGAAAACAAAAAACAGTGTTGAATTGATTTTTAGTATCGAATGGTGTACACGTGAAACTGAATAACTAAATTCCTTTTAAATTCATGCTTATATAGTTAAAAAATCATTTGTAATTCCTTATGTTTTGCTAAATCGTAGTTTAAATGTTTGCTAAACACCTGAATTATGATATTGCATCTATAAATTACATGTTACCTTTTAATTGTACATCTGGTATTTTTACATTTCATTCATTATTATTGTAGTTACACATTAAAAGTTCATAAAAAAATATGAACGTGAATTAGACCCAATGCCTAACTCTCGAACAACCCACATACATGTAACTGTATTGCTTACGGCTTTTTTAATTATTTTTTCCCAATAATTAGTCCTAAAACATTTTAAAATGTATAATAGATTATAATTCATATGTTAAAATATCCCTTCTATGTTTTTTTTATCTGATTATTCTTTGTCAAGTGTAGTTACGCCATTTTGAGAGAATGAAACAATGTACGATTTACTAAATGTTGTGATTAATTAGCGTAATTAATTCGTTCAATTATGTAAATCGTACTTCACCTGAGTATACACCGATAAACCCGACGTATTTCAGAGCGGTCCGGATTTCTTTCTTAAATAGTGTTTATATATATTTCCAATTCAACATGTAACTATGTAAATATATAGTGTTTATAGTGCTAGTTGTTTTTGGTTTCTCTTTTTCCTTGGATCTTATGACTTTTTAACTTTTTTCTTTGTCCTGCGGAAGGGACAGAGCGTCCCGAAACCTGTTGGTGATTCTTAGTGCTTAATATACATCTGCCTATACATGTATATTAAAAAAAAATAGCTGCAGCAGGCTTATAGAAAACAATTTGAGTACATTATTGGGAGGACGACTCATAGAAATTTAAGTAAGTCATCAGGCTTTATTATTAAAATCAAGTCTAATAATGAGAGTATACAGTTATGATCTCTCTCTCTTTCTCTCTCTCTCCCTCTCTCGTCTCGATGTTTTCTATATCTATTTATATTTAAATATTGGGCTAGTTAATATTCCTCAACTAGAAGTATCTTGAGAAAATGAAATTTTACAATAATTGTCGAAGACCAACTATTTCTTTTCTCCTCTTTTTGTCAGTAAAATATTAATTGTAATATCAATTTATTTTCATTTTTATGCATATGACTGATGTATTTACCCAATTTATTTACCAAATGGACTTTCAATACTGGTATAAAAAATCTAAAGGAAATAAAAACGTAAATTTTCATGTATAATTCTACGTGGAAAATTAAAACATATAATTAATTAATTGCTTTAATAAAATAAAGGAAGTAAATAAAATTATATAAATATAAAATACAACCCGGGAAAGAACGAGTGCACTTATGGGCCCCGGTAAAATGTGAAAAAATAAATAATCAAATTAAGCAAAAATTTTCATATCAAATTATTAATTGATATATTAACCATACGATTCAACAAATTTTAAAGCTGAAATCCACGAATATACAAAGAACAAAACTAAACAATGTGGTAGGGGTCAGCAGACATTGGCGATTTTCTATAGTAAATCGAGAACGGTCATTCATTTCAAAGCCTTTGTAAACTATGAGCCTAACGTTGTGCAAACTTGTGCGAATGACAAAAGACGCATAATACATTTATAAAACTTGTGTGAAAGTATAAAATTTGCACACAATTAGGCTCGTACTTAACTATTAAAAATGTATAAAAAGTACAATGTTTTTCCTATAGCAAGTGAGAGCTATTTACTTGTATGACCCATGTTGAACCCACGTGTGGAATAAATTATTTAGAATACTGATAGTCACGTGAGTTCTACCCAGGTACGTAAACATTCCTCAAAGGTGCTCACTGTAAAACATAGGCAGGTTTTGTTTCAGTAAGTCAAAGCCCTGTCGCTTAGAGATGTTTATATATAATTATGTATTTTTTTTTTAGAACGCGGGAGGGTAAAGACATTTTTAACCTTCATGCAAGACAATGAAACAGGTATTGAAAGCCACCTATAACACTCTTTGTCAAATTCAATGAAACTATTAATGTTATTTTTCAAATGCAAGAGTATCAATTTCTTAGTTTAATCCTTTAGATACAGGCAACAACACAACTTCATTCCATATTTTTTAAAACAGGTTTGGCACAAGAAATATCATTTCGCAAACGCGCCCGACTATGATCCACCATCAGATTGTTCAAGTATCTATTCCTTGAACTAAAAGAAGGTTCGGTACGACTTTTCCGGATTTATAGGGTATCCATAGGCCTTTCAAAATATTTAATTGTTTCAAATCCATGATTATTTAGGGGCGCTTAACATATTTTTTTTAATTAGAAATATCCAATAGTATCTAACAATTACCAATAGAGAACCATTTGGTAATATATTTTGAAGTAAAATGGCATATCAAAAGGGCCCATTAAGTATTGCTTAAGTGCACTTGTCCTTAAAATGAATAATATCAAATCGTATTTTAATCATCATAATAGATTTACACAGCCTATTAACACGGTTTGCTTGTATGTAGTGTTTGGATTTATATCAAATTAAATCTACACGTTCGATCTTATATCCCAATCGACAGATCAATATGCTAGTTTGATTGGTTGACGCGCTGATTGGTTAATCGCTAATCCTGATTGACAGCTCCGTAAAGAAATACTGAACCCGCGTTCGCTCGCTGGGACCGCTACTGAATTTTGGGTTCGCTCTCTGGGTCCGCCTCGGGTTCGCTCGGGTTCCGCTACGGGTTCGCTTTGGGTGTGCTCCGGGTTCGGTCGGGGTCAGCCCTAGCGGACCCCGAGCGAACCCGGAGCGGACCCAGAGAGCGAACTCGGGGTCCGCTCCGGGTTCGCTTTCTGTTAGGTTGTGTCCGCTCGGTACTGTACCTACGCAAGAGCAATGCGTAAAATGAACTATATATTTAAAAAAATGGTAACATTTATAGTTTTATAACTTTTTATTGATTCCTGGAATATAACGATATGTTAATAGTTCAGACTTCATGCCATGATCACCTTGCATGTGCATGCACGTGCGTTTGCGTGCAATGTGTGAGAAAACAAAAAGTTGATATCATTGTAACTTTTAAAATTCTTTTATGAAATCCTGCGATACTGAGCATATTAAAATGATTTTAAAGGAAGTTGGCACAAAAAGGGAGTTAGGGAGCGTTTGAGGAACATCTGTAACGGTCCTTGTTACAATTAGAGCGTTTCTCTTAATATAAATGTACATGTTCCCATCAATTCTATTGATTGATTCAATAGTTTGAACTTTGTATTCTTAATAGACATCAGGAACTTTTTTTGTCATTGAATTGTTTTGGATTTAAGAACCTGATGAAAATTGGATATTGAATTCAAAAGGTAATTTGCTTTAGTCATTTTTTCCTAAGAAATATAAATAAGAATCTTATCAGAGACATATAGAATCATGTTATTTACAAATTTGATAAAAGACAAAGGTTTTTGCTATGATATTGATCAAAGCATGTACTTTTTGAGTACCGGTATCTGTTTGTTATAAAACAAAATAAAAACGTAGTATTTTTTCGCACTTAATGCTTTCTTTGACACACTTAAAATTCAGTACTAACAGAAAATAGGAAAATAGGAAAACTAAAAAAAATGATGTCAGGTGTAAACACTAGCTTTAATTAGTTTGCTTGCAAAAAATAGATATAAAAACAATGACATGTGATGTGCCACTTATTGTCTAGTTATTCGATGGAATGCCTTTTAACACCATCAATTTTCATAAATAAAAAAATAGTAACAAAGATAAAAAAATTGCAACCATAAACCCATTCCAATTTTGAGTAAAAATAGTTAAAAATTTTTCTTAAGTTTTGAATTCCTACCTTTTATTAATCTTCCTCGCTTTTCACGAATTTCAAATTTTTCCTCGTGAACCTCAAGTCCTTTCGTTGATTTTAACTTTTCTATTTCCTTCTTACTTCGCTTGAGTAGTCGATTCAGTAGCGTCGTTTTCCCAGCCCCAGCACACCCTACAATCATCCCCCGGGCGTGATGGACTTCCTGTACTCCTCCTCTCTCGGCGTACTGAACGTACCGCTCTCTGGCTTTCTGGTCCCACCTCAATATTTCTCCTGGGACTTTCCCTGTTTATATCACATTCAATGATAAATAATTGTGTAAATACTCAAAATAGATCTTCACATACATTGAAGAAAAAATATGTATTCACATTATTTCTTTCCTTTCTTTATCATGTGTTTATAAACATACACAATATTTTAAAGTTGTAGAAGAATAAGATGAATAAACATGCTCTATCATGCATCGATTCAAAAGTTAAGATTCAAAGATCTCAAGCTCATTAAAATTTGTACGTTTTATCTTTTTTTCTCACCATGCAATAGATTATATTACAGAATTATAATTTTTATTACAATACTGTACAGTCATAAGAAATTCTTGTTTGAAACAATATTTGATTTCTGAATCTTAGATTAATAATGAATATTCAGTTTCTTTATCCATCAATCATTAATAATTAAATGACAGAGACATGATCAATACTTACAACGTTTACTGATCCTGCCATGAATCTCCCAGTCAGACACGGTACAGTGTGTGATGATGTCAAGCTGTAGTTTGTTTATGAAGAGGTCACACATCTTCTCCGGTCTGTCCGGTATATACAGACATCTCTCTCCCTCACTCCTCTTATACGCCCACGACCGGCAGTATTCTGATATCACGTCACGTGACGCCGTGGTCAGGAAAAACTCCAGATCGCTGTCCTTCTCCAGACACTCCGTAACTAAGGCGTACATGACGTCATGTCGGATGTCGTCTGATATAAACGTTACCTCACCATTCTGGGTTTCCATAACATCATCTTGAAGGGATGTCACATCAACATCATCAGACGGAGAAATCCTTTGAAAATACCTTTCTCGTACCTTTATTAATATTGACTTGAACGCCATCTCATTTGCAGCACTCGTGTACTTGTCACACAAGAGTAAACTGTAAAGAATACTTCTGTCAACTTCAGAATATTTATGATGTTCGCCTAAATGAATGAAATCAAAGAGTTAAAGGATTACATGTATAACCGATTACAGGCCTGCGTATTCATAGATTTATCAAAGTATACTTACCTTAGACAATTCTACTACATGTATATACGTTTTTGATTTTTAGACGAAAAACACAATTTTAATAAAACAGAGTCTTTCTAGGATTGCCTTCATAAAAATTATTTTATACGTACAGAAATGATAACTGATATTTTTTTGTTTATGTAAAAAGAGTTTGAATAGATTCTCCCCAGCCTGGGAGTATGTAAGATATGAAAGGAAATTGTCACGATCCTCCTGATAATAATAACGTGGTAATAGTGCATAGTAAAAAAAAAAAGAAACGTTTTTCAACTAGTGAAAATTGTTTTGAATATATTGTACAGCTGCAAATGACACAAATATATATTTTGTTCATTCTGAACCGCGGCTTGCAGCATAGCCTATCCTACCATTGGCATTATTACGTGACCAAGATGGAGGGTATCAGCAGGTGGTTCATTTTGACAGTCCTACACCTTCATTTTGATGACAGTAAATTTTTATCATTCATCAATGATCATGGGTATTTTTTTTTTACATCAATGAATCTATTAATGAGCAAGTGCAGGAAATGTTTATTTTAATTCTTTTAAATTATTTATTTTGCTTTGAAGACTGAAACAAATGATTCAACTATTTCACCTTTTAATAACTTTTCTTGCATGGACGCTTTTGAAAATTGTAAAAGATTTTTTGAATGCTTAATTTTGTTTACAATCGATTTGATGCTTTGCATTAATTTAAGTTGTATTGGTCTGAATTGAATCAAAGTACTGACAAACATTAAAATACATATAATTTAAGGTAAAACTTTTCATAATTCAACAATGCATATAGTATCATGTATTCTGGGACAATCTGTACTAGTATGCCTTTTGGACTTTACCAGTCAATAAATCTTTTAATAATTTAATATGTGGATAGGGACCATAAATTTGCATTGAAAAGTAGAATTAATTATAACTTTTACTACAACTTGGTAAGTAACACAAATCGTGCAGTGCTTCTATACTAGTCAAAGAATGACAACTCACTCATGGACGACATACATGTACATTTTGTCTTTCAATTGTTGTATTTTGACCTTTGTTATAAATGCACTTTGTATGATCAGATAAATCCTTTCTTTATTTATTTCCTTGTGAATTTTCCAATTTCAAAAGATCAGACCTTTATCATTATGTGTTAACTTAGTCTGGTTAATAAAGATAAAGACATATCTTAAATTTCATCCATTTAAGGAATAACTGTCTTATTTTTCGAATTCATGAAGTGATAAATGGATTGGCTTGTGTGATAATTTGCATAAACGCCGATCCACGGGCTCCAAGCCTGCTTCTCTCTAGGTGTTGTCCCGCCCTGCACGTGGGTTTTTTTTTGGAACCGCGCCAAAACATTCATGAGGAAATCAATTACATTTACAATTGGCAATTTTATCTCGGACAAAGACATTGGAAATGTAAATATAAGTTCATCGATGCAAATTGGTTTCAGACTTTTAATTTGGATGATAAACCTCTTACTCTTAAAAAAATATGTTACGTACTTCACATATCAGACTATTTAACCCCACATTGCAGGGGTAAAGAATGGTTTTAATTAAATTAGATGGATGAGAAATTTCTATCTTTTACAAATGGCAGGTAAGATGTTAGCCTCTCTAAACATACTATCCGTTTATCCTTGAAAATCAAGAATCATGTTTTTTTTCCCCTCGAAGCTTGATTTCTGCCATCAAATCTAATACACGTAAGTTATTATACTTCTTACAGGTGCACAGGATATTTCAAATGAATAAAAGAGTAATTAAACTTCTCTTCGAAGAAATTCAAGATTTTCAAAACTTGGACAAACAAAAAATGAAGAATTGGTCAGACTCGAAAATCAGTTTCTATTTAGTGTGTAAGTGTGAGGGTTTATGAGGGTGTATGTGAGAGAGAGTGTGTGTGAGAGAGGGTGTGCTTGTGTCTGTCAGAGAGGGGGGGGTCTGTGTTTGTGCAAGTTTTTACTTACTTTCAGTACCCAATTTTCACTGAAACACTGCATTACCCATTTATTACCCATTATTGACAATACTGCATCATAAATTGGTCTACGCTCTTATAATGAACATTTTCTATAGAATAAGATGTGTCTGATGCATCTTATATCCCTTACTTTTAAGATGTGTTCAATCGCTCCCGATAGACAAAACGTTTTGCAGGCAGGGTTATGCTAATGCTAATGCATTGCAATGCATTACATGAAGTCAAAGCAATAATGCTAGTAATATGAAATGCCCAAAAAATTGCATTACATCAAATGGTAATGTAATGCATTACTTAATATTTACATTCGCTGTGTTTTTCTAGTAAGCTTACTGTGAAATTGATTTGAAAAACATTTTTGTGTATACTCACGCGTAGAAACATACACAGAGAAACGTGCGTTAACGTGACGTCACAATGAAAATGCAGCGACGTTAGTAAAATGAAATAATATAGGACAGCCAGAAATTCGAATATTGAGTATATTTTGGTTGCCTCCAAACAGATAAAATGTAAATATAAGGAATGTTTTTCAGTTTAGTGTGAATTATTGGTGTGTGAATCACACAGACTTGCACGTAGGCATATTTTTCATGAAGCACTAGCGCGCTTCATGAAATATGCCTACGTGACAAGTCTGTGTGATTCACACACCAATATCTCACACAAAACTAAAAACATTCCTTAAATAATATCCATTGTGATGATGGCATTATAAACTCGTAACATTACAAAGCATTATAATTTGTATGTACCTTTTTAAATAAAAATTAAATGGACATTATACATTTATTGAATGATAGAAGGGAGACAGGAAGATTTCTTCTCCCACGAAAAATCATATTCCCTGAGGGCAACGCCCGAGGGTAATATGACTTTTCATGGGAGAAGAAATTTTCTTGTCTCCCTCACTATCATGCAATAAATTGTTTAATACACCAAATCAAACACAGAAAATGCAATGAACATTACAATATGAAACAGCTCTATAAGTTATAACATTAGCCGCACTTCAGAAAAAAATCTTCGATGTGATTTACACAAGGCAACATACAAACTGTACCAATGAGAACATTATTGTAAATATTTATATTTTTTTTACATTTTAAAATTGACATAATCAATCAACAATATAAACAATCTGACTCAATTCTGTGTTCATTCAAGATTCGTACAGAAGCTCCAGGTTCCGTCAGAGATAAATTTCTTAATTATCCATTATGTCTTTGAAATATTATCAGCTAATTGTCAAGGATTGGTGAATATTGGGGGATATCAGCAAACGAAGATATGTTTTTAATTATTTTAGAGGAATGAATTATTATTTTACTGCCTTCAGGACACTCACTTTACAGCTGAAATAGAAAATGAAATCAGAAGCATGTTGGGTTTTGACTCTTATTTGAGTTCTTTTTCATCAAATGCAAGAGGTATAGCAATTCTATTCAATAATAATTTTGATGTTAAAATGTCTAGAGAAAAGGAGATGTGGATGGTAACTTTCTTCTTTTAGATTTTACTGCTGAAGAAAAAAGGTTTCTCTTATGTTGTATATGGACCAAACAATGATAAACTTGATTTTTTTGAAAGATTACATAAGTACATTAATGATTTAAATTGTGAGATTGTTATATTATGTGGTGACTTTAACCTTGTTTTAAATCCTGAATTAGACTACTATAATTATAAACATATAAATAACCCTACTGCAAGACAGAGGGTTATAGATCTTATGGAAGATAACACCTTAGTTGATATTCATAGACATAATGACCCAAATGCTTTGAGATATGCCTGGAGAAAAAAGTCCCATTTAGCAAAGCAGATTAGATTTTTTCTTGTATCGGTGAAATTACTGTCAAGTGTTACAACAAGTTCTATAGAACCTAGCTATAGGTCTGACCACTTGAATATTACTTTATGTTTAGAGTTCAATGATTTTAAGAGAGGCAAAGGATTATGGAAATTTAATAATTCTCTTTTATATGATGAAGAATTTTTAAACTCAATTAAGAGGGTGATACAAAGGGTTAAAGAGCAGTATGCAGTTCCAGTATACAATAAAGATAACTTGCAATCTATTGAAGATGAAAATATTGTATTTTTAGTCAATGACCAGTTATTTTCAGAAACACTTCTTATGGAAATTAGAGGGAAATGAATTTCGTATTTGTCTTTAAAAAAAAATCCAGAATTATTTAAAGAAGAAAAACTTATAAAAGAAATAAATTCCCTGGAGGAATTGGCACAGGGATCTACAAGCAATAATAAAACTCTTGAAGAAATGAAGAGTTGGAAGATATTAGAAAAGAAAAAATGGCTGCTGTATATATAAGGTCAAGGGCAAGATGGATAGAAGAAAGGGAGAAACCGACGAAATATTTCTGTAATCTCGAGTCAAGAAATTTCATAAGTAAAATTATTCCAAAAATTAAAATAGAAAATGGAGAGACAGTTTATAATCAGTCAGATATTTTAAAAAGCAACCAAACAATATTATGAAAATTTGTGTAGAAATGTAGATGATGTCATTGAAAATGTTAGCCTTCAGAATGAAATGAATGTTTCAGATATTAAAAAGCTTTCCAATGAAGAGTCAAGGTCATTAGAAGGACAAATTACAATGAATGGGGCATAAAGAAACACTTTTTAGGATGAAATCAAATAAATCACAAGGCTCAGATGGCTTTACCTCAGAATTTTTAAGGTCGTTTGGAAATTTATTGGCGTTTTTGTTGGCCGATCAATCAATTATGCATATGATCAAGATATCTTAAGTGTAACTCAGAGACATGGAATCATTACCTGCTTACCGAAGGGTGACAAACCTAAACACTTGTTAAAAAATGGATACCTATCTCCCTTTTAAACACTGTTTATAAAATTGCATCCGGGTTCCATTGCGAATAGAATTAGAAGGTTTCTAGATAAAATTATACATTCTGATCAAACAGGCTTTATACAGGGCAGGCATACAGCTGAAAACATTAGACTAATCTATGACATTATGCAATACACAGAAGAAGAAAAAATACCAGGTGGTCTTCTTCTTGTTGTTGACTTTGAAAAAGCATTTGATTCTGTCTCTTGGGCTTTTATTCAAAAATAACTTAAATTCTTTAATTTTGGAAAGTCTATGAGGAAATGGGTTATTTTTTTTTTATTCAAACATTACATCAGCAGTAAATCAGGGAGGAAATTTATCAGAAACATTCTCTTTGCATCGAGGATGTCGCCAGGGAGACCCACTATCCCCATACTTATTCTTGATATGTGCTGAAATCCTTGCTTTTAAGATAAGAAATAACAAAGACATCAAAGGTATATATTTCATTGATGGGGTAAGAAAATCTCGATGCTCGCTGATGGCACTTCTCTTATATTAGATGGCAGTGAGAAATCTTTATAATCAAGTTTAGGTACCCTTAGAGATTTTGCAAAAATGTCCGGCTTACATATAAATTATGATAAAACACAAGTAATATGGATACGTAGCAAAAAAGGAAGTGATGAGGTTTTATGTAAAAATCAATCTCTTGAGTGGGGAAAGAAAAACTTTAGGTTACTTGGTATTGAATTTGATATAGATTTGCAGAAGATACTTTCGAGGAATCTCAGTTCAAAGTTAGAAAACATAAAGAAAATGATAAGACATTGGAAGCGTAGGAATCTCACATTACTAGGACGATTAACAGTTTTGAGAACACTTTTATTGCCAAAATTGAATCATTTTTTAGCTGCGACTAATTGATTACATATACCAATAATTCTCTGATTGTCATCCTCATATATAACCGTTTGCCCTTAATACTCTCTCTATTTTAATAGGTCCGAGGTGTTCCTGATTTTGTAGTCCATACTTACTTGGTTTTCTGTAAGCTTTGTTGTCGATGATGTAAATGTCGTTGTGTGGATGTAGACCTATACAGGATCTCACGATGTCAGGTCTCCGGTCTCTCCAGAGCCACGTCAAGTGATCTACACTGTCATGTGATCTTCCTCTGTAATGTACAGCCTCTCCTTGTTCTTTTAAGGTTATCAATAACTGCGTCCGTTCACTTAGAGTTCTTATTATTTCGTTGTACGGTATGTTTACTATAATATATGAAAATCGAGGATATCATGTCGTTGTTTTCCCTTCTGTTTTGTAGTTTTTTAAGATCTATAATTCGTCATGGTAAACAAAATAAGGGAAATGCCAAGAAACGCCAAATAACAAAAAAGAGAAGAAAAGGAAAAGAAAATTTAGAATTTTTTCTATCTATCTAATTAACCACGAACAAATAAATTCTTTGAAACAGCGTGCTCTACAAATTTACAATGATCCTTAGGACAATACAAAGGACAAGAGTCCTTGCACTTCAGCAATACTTAATGGGTCCTTTTTATGTGCCATTTTACCTTCGAATATATAGCCAAATTGTTCTCTTTTGTAAAATATAGATTCTGGTGGATATTTCTAAAAAGCACGTTAAGCATCATATAAATCAGCATGGATTTGAGACAATGGAATATTTTAGATATCCATGGATACCCTAAATCCGGAAAAATAGTACCACACCTTCTTTGAGTTTCGTAATGTAAACCAAGGGGAAAAGATATTTAAATTAACATTTAAAAAATCTGATTGTGGATCATAGTCGGGCGCGTTTTTGGAATGTTACTTCTTGCTCTAAATCTGTTTAAAAAGTGAATGAAATTGTGAAGTTGCCTGTAGCCATAATGATCAAATTAAGAAATTGGCACTCTTGCATTTGAAATATAACAATAATAGTTTCACTGAATTTGAAATTAAAAAGGAGTGTTTAGGTAGCTTTCAACACAAATGTACCTGTTTCATTACCTTGCATGAATGTTAAGAGAGGCTGACACTTTTATGAACGACACTAAACTACCTTTACCCTCCCGTGTTCTTAAAAACAAATACATACAAATATCTCAAAGCGGCACGACTTTGACGTAATGATAGAAAATCTACTGGTACCTATGTTTTACAGTGAGCACATTTGAGAGATGGTTACTAGGGTAGAACTCACGTGATTATCAGTATTTTAAAAAGATATTCAACACGTGGGCTAAACATGGGTCACACAGGTATATATCTCTCAATATAATTCTTTTCTATGTCAAAGTGGAAGGTAGTTTGTTGGCAGTCATTAAGCATTCCCAGTTTTATTTTTTTGAGCAGTTTATTAGCAGTTCCCTTAGCCTTCCATGTCCGTCAGACAAGTTGATTTATTATTCATAAAAATGGGCAGTTCAAAGCAGTTTTTCTTAGCCTTCCAATTTTTCAACCAGTTCTTAAGCAGTTAATTTCAGCGAAAAATTTAAATGAGTTTTAAAAAACTGCTCGAAACTGCCATTAACTGCTTTTGAACTGTTATTCCATTTCCATATATGGTTGTGTCTGATGAATATTCAAAGCAATATACATACAATTTTAAATTGAAACCCTGCCAAATTATGGCTGAAATAATGTCAACTTGGCAAAAAACAATAATAATCCATGAAATACAGTTAAACAACAAAATTGTAAGTTAACTATTTATCAAATTTTCCCAAATCTGAATTCCAGTTAAAAACATTAGCAAAATTTAGAAATACACTAGCTTCCTTAGCTAAATGTATAATTTATCCAAACAATTTCAAGTAATTCTAAAATTAATCCGCAATTTATCACAAATTCAAACAACCAGCAAATTTTATCCAAGTCCAATTTCTCAGTCAAAATTCACTAAACATTATCAAAACTTAACTCCTATAAAATTCCACAAATATTCCAAAAGTTCCTTAAAAATTCCTTAAAATGACTCTGGCTTTTCTTAAGCTAAAACTAAAAAGTTATAATTTAAATTCAAAACACCTAACCCATACTACTGTAATTCCTTACTCCTAAAACATGACTTAATTCTCTAATCCAATCAACCTATAGCAGAGGAGCAAAAATTCCTTGAATCTCTCTCTTTTATACAATAACATGACGTAAATTAAAGTAGGAAAACATTGGACACTTGATAGCATTATCTGCGCGTTGGATTAAAACTTTAGGAAGAAATGTATAGTGAGAAATTTCCTATTTGAACCCAATGCTACACGCAAACCGGTAGGCATATCCGATTTATGTGTTAAATTGAAGCCTGAATTGAGGAGGGGGTCAAAATGGCGTTGCACACTTTGTGTATTTATATAAAGAGGGGGTAGAATTTTTCTATATTTAGCTAATTTCGCGACTTATTGATAAAAATTCCGGTGCCTGTGCTCCTACAATGTCAAAAATAATCAGGTTCCATAACTCTGTATAAAACTAATCTGTCAAATCACTGGACTGTTACAATATATCGATCATTATTCATTCAAGGCCACATATATATTGTACTTACTAATTGTTAAATGTCTACATCATTATTTCAATAAATCTAAAGCTTTGTGGCCAAGTAGGCTCCCTTTATATAGGCTAATAGCCTTTTGTCCAACAATACACATGGCAGCCAGAATATTCGATTTTGGCGGGCAGTTGTAAGCTTGGCTCCTGTTCATTATATTTGTTGGAATTAAAATTTCTCTTGAACCCAATCAATATACAAGGGCACTGCTTTGAACTGCTAACAGAACTGCTGAGGAAAACTGTTTACTCCCAAGGCCCTAGCAGTTACTAAAGAGCAAGAAAAACCAAACTGCTTGAAACTGCCTGAAAACTGTTAAAAATTTCTAAAACCGCTAAAGAACTGCCTAATAACTGCCTATTTAGGCAGTTCACTTTTCAATGGGTTCAATTAAATTAGTTGAATTTGATTTGTCAGAAACATTTATAATTTTGTTAAAAAATACTATTACCCGCTGAATAATGAAGCCACGCCCTCCAGCGTAGCAACAGTCAACATTGCTTGACGACGGGTGATATTCTAAACAAGAGGCCCATGGGCCTTATAGGTCACCTGAGCATTATTAACAACTTTCCAGTTATTGAATTTAATTCATGTTTTAAGCCAGATGCTATGGCATTCACAATTTTGAAAGATCATCACAACAATACACTTAGCAGTTGCTTAGCTTGGTTACTTAATACCCATAGGCAGGGTTAGGGAACAAAAAATGCATTTCAACTAATCAATAATTTTCAGCAATATTCATTAGTGCTCTCGCCACACAAAAACCCCTGACCCTTAGGCCTAGATCCACACACTGCACAATTTTTGAAAAGGGATCCTTGCTTTTTCAAAAAAAAAGATTAATATCAAGGAGCAGATTTCAAACAATTCATTCAATATCAGTCTATGAGTACTGCAAGATTAGGGCCCTTGCTCATCATAAATATATAGATAGTTCATCTGCTTCATAGCCAGAGACAGAGAGGACAATTTTCAAAGAATTCTTTTATTTTCACAATATAATCAATAGAGCCCCGCCCATTACATCAGAATCCCTGACCCTGGGGCCATAAAATTCACAATTTTGTTAAAGGCACTCTTGCTCATCATAACCATTCACTTAGTTAGTTTATTTTATACCCAGGAGACGAGGAGAGGATATTCAAAGAATTCATGTATTTTCACTATATAATCAATAGAGTCCCATCCTAACACAAGAAACCCTGACCCTGGGGCCATAGAATTCACAATTTTGGTAGATGCATTCTTGCTTATTATAACTATGCACTTTGTTACTTTATTTAATACCCAGGAGCACAGAAGATTTTTAAAGTATTAGTGTGTTTTCACTATATAATCAATAGAGCCCCGCCCTAACACTAGAACCCCTTACATGTACCCTTGGGCAATAAAATTCACAAATTTGGTAGAGGCACTCTTGCTCATCATAGCTATGTACTTAGTAACTTTATTTAATTTCCAGGAGCAGAGAAGAAAATTTTCAAAGAAATAATGCATTTATACTATATACTTATTTAGCCCCGTTCTAGCACTAGAACCCCGACTCCAGGGCCATTAATTTCAAAATTTTGGTATAGGACTCAATGCTGATTACAATCATGCAAACAATTTGACTGCTTGATGTCCAGGAGTAGAGAAGAAGATTTTTAAAAATTGCATTAATTTTAATGGTTTTGACCCTATCCCTCAGGCACCATGAGGGGCAGGGATCACGAAATTCACAATTTCTGTTCCACTTTACCCATAGATGCTTTATTTAAAATTTGGTTGAAATTGGCTCAGTGGTTGCAGAGAAGAAGATAGAAATGTTCAAATATTAACGCATGACGCAAGACGCATGACAACGGACGAAAAGGGATAGGAATAGGTCACCTGAGTTTACTCAGGTGACCTAAAAATAGCAACTGCGCAGAATTTCTGCGCGCACGGTTCACTGTTATAAGTATTTGTATAAAAGATTCAGTATAAAATATAATAATTATTACATGTAGTTGAGTGTAACATTGAAAATTTTCGCCCTAAGAAAACCATTGTCGATCTGCGCCTCGGTTGACAATGGTCTTGGGGTGAAAATTTTCAAAGTTACACTCAACTAAATGCAATATTTATATACTAGCTATAGAAAAAAACGTACGTTTTTAAAAAAATCTTAATATTTCAAGCACCAGTCTAATCGTGTGCAAATTTTCTACTTTCACACAAGTTTTATTAATGTATCATGCGTCTTTTGTCTTTCGAACAAGTTTGCATACGGTTAGGCTCATATAAACAAAAGCATTGAAATATATGACCGTTCTTGATTTACTATAGAAAATCACAAATGTCGGCTGACCTCTACCGCATTCATGATTGCATGGTTTTGTTTCTTTGTATATTCGTGAATTTCAGCGGTAAGATTTGTTGAATAATATGGTTTGGATTTCAATTAATGATTTGAGATGAAAACTTTGCTTAATTTGATTTACTTTTTCACATTTTATCGTAGCTGCAGATCTATAGCTTTCCGAAAAAAATAATAATTTGACAGACAGGAGAGCTACAGTGCCACCCACTGAAAAAACTGTACATTTATTGCGCACAAAAGTTGCGCTAGTTTCTGGATTTATTCCTCCAAATTCCTTCCTCAATTGCGAAAAAGCTAAATTTCAAAATATTTATTACTCTTCTATCAATTATTAACTACTTTCGTTGTTGACATCTACACGAAGCGCATTTGGGCCGAATTATCTCACAAACCAAAATGACAGTATAAACAAATGAAATTTTCGATGATCTTGATTTCAGGGAATCGAGGGCTGTATATAACAAAAACAACAAGAAAACTTTGATGCAACCATCAATTGTCGCCCGAGAAATAAATAAAGAAAACAATGGAAATGAGTATTGATCATCAAACCGCTTCGATATGTGTGAAAAAGGCAGCATACGTCTAAATGATGGAGACGATAGCCGATAATATTTTGACAACTTATAGTTGGATGAAAATCGAACAAAAACGATACCTTTTCAAACTTTATCAGTTCTTCAAGTAAATGTTTGCTGCATAAAATATAGATCGAAACCAGACATACATCAGCCTTTCAGAAATGTATTTTACTTTTAAACAATAAACACGAACTGTTTAAAGTACGTATTTATGCAAAAAGTAAAATTCGTTGTTCTAAATATAGGGACCGGTCATTTTTTCGATAGTAAATGATAAACAACTTTATATATTAAATCTGAAATACTTACATATTTTTACAGATTCATTTTATGGAAGTAAATATGTTGTGTACATGTATCTCGTAATTTATAAAGGGAAAGAAAATTCTGATTAATATTTTTTTTAATGTTCAGAAAGTAGTACTAGTAACTTCTCCCACCTCAATCCCAATAATTATACCAACACTTAAACGTACATATGTATAGAGTTGCCCGGTCCTCCGGGCTGTAATAAGGCGTGTTTTGTTGTGAAACAGTGAAAGATAATGTTATTAGGAATAAATGGTTAGTAATATTTTGATATTATAGTTTAAAAACATGGAGAAATAAATCGATAAACAGTGCACTTTTTTGTGCGCAATAAATATACGTTTTTTTTCAATAGGTGGCACTGTACGTAGCTCTCCGGTCTATAAAATGAATATATATTTCGGAGAGCTACAGTTCTGTAGCTCATTTTACCGGGGCCCATAAGTGCACTCGTTCTTTTTGTAAACTGAAATTATTAGATTTTGGGTTATGATATTTTGCGTCAAAATCATTCAAAGTTTAAAAACGCAAAATCTAATAAGTACATTTTTATAGATTAATACATTTTTCACAATGACCTTGTCAACAAATACAATTTATCATTGAGTCAAATGCTGACTGACTTTTTAATACTGTTACAATGTAGTATATTATTTATACACTGAATTGACGAGGGATTTTCCCGTTATTTCCTGATCATGACAAGGAGCACACGGCGGGTGTGACCGGTTAGCAAGGGATGCTTACTCCTCCATGGCACCTGATCCCATCTCTGATGTGTCGGGGGTCCGTGTTTGCTCTGCTCTTGTTTTGTATTTTTTTTTATGGACTTTGAGATTGAATACTGTTTGTTATGTCCATATCCTTATTTTGCTTTTTTTTCTTTTTACATTTTTAGTCTAGGTCAAGGCTAAGTAACAAGAAAACGTACTTTTTGTTGTTACATTTTGCGATGATTAATTTTATGTGTTGAAGACAATGCAAATTGTAATAGAATAATTAGTAATGAAGAAATATAATTAATTTTTGGATTGTGTTTAACACAAATCATCTTACATTAATAAATACATATAACATAGGAAAACCCACTTTACAAAAAAAAAAATAAAACTGTAACCATCAGACCAACCTTACGGCTTTTACAATCCTCGTCTATTTCGGACATTAATAGTTCTTTATCAAACTCCACTTAAGAGAGAGAGAGAGAGAGAGAGAGAGAGAGAGAGAGAGAGAGAGAGAGAGAGAGATTACAAAAAACCCCAAATATTTCTTGAAAAAATTAATTCGGCATTTTTTTAAATTAATTGTTTGTTCCTGCATGAGATATCAATCATACCAATAAATGTGATATTAGAGAAAAATACCAAACGCCACCTTCTTACTGATCAAGGTAAATTTACGATGGTATAGAACATGATGAGGAACAAGCTATTTTTAAATACATGTGTATGTAAGTTTTCTTATAATACATCAAACTCGACTTCTTTTCTCATAAAATAAATGCATCTATTCTATATTCTAAATAGTTGCTATTATTTGCCACCAATCTTTAACTAAAAGATACACACAATGAATCTTAGACCATCGAAACATAATAATTGTAGAATGGGTAAAAACGATAAAATTATAACATTATATAAAACTTACAAAACCGGACTAAGAGCTCATATATTCTCATGTCCTCCATGGTGACATGAGTCAGTATGTTCATCTGTAGACGGAGTATCAGTAAGTCATCACGGTAAAAAAGACTAGTGACGCACCTCTCTCCAGGTTCTCTGTTGTATCTCTGTGATCTCAGGTACACCCTAGCTGTGTTATAACTAATGTCACTCCTGACACATTTCTCTTCAGGTTTTCTGTTGTATCCCTGTGATCTCAGGTACACACTGGCTGTGTTATAACTACTGTAAATGAATGGTATATCACGGTACATTGATGCTATCCTATACATTGTCTCATCCCTTGTGTCCTTCGTTATCTTGTCCTGATCTTCCCAAAGGTAATCACGTGACTTCAGTCTGTCCAGAATCTCCTGTGCTTCCTCACTTGTTACAGGATTCTTTTTACCGTACATCTTCTGTTTACGGTAAACTCTCTGTCGTATCCCATTAAGCATGTCCAGCCACTCTTCGTCAGTGAAGTCAGGAGGACCGGAGTCAGAACACAGAAAACAGAATAAGACCATCACCTCGTCATCAGACAGTGTGGAAAACCGATCTAAAAAAATTAATAATAAATACTCGTATAGATAAATGGATAGATTAGTTGAGATAATCACTAACTTAACGTATATCAAAGCTAAATCTATTTCTATCTGCCTTTATATAACGTTAATCATGTCATTTTGTTAATTGTGAATTGCAACATATAATTACACTTTTAATCAATAATGACATAATCCATAAAAAGGTCTTCTTATGTTATACATTTGAATTTTTTTTAAAAACCAGCAGGTAAATCTTTGTTGACGATGATGATATGGGGAATAGGTGGAAAACAGAAAAGAATATTTAAAAATAAGATTTTTTTTCTAAATAAAGATACGCATGTTAGGCCTTTCAACTTATTATTCTCGTTGCATTTATGCTATAAACATTTCATAATTTAAAAAGATTTATTGGTATTTGAAATTCTCAATGTATGGATAAACAACCATATTCAAGATATATTTCTTTGTTTAATAGTTTTTATGAACAAGATATACGAGTAATATAATATTTTTTTGCGTGTGCATTATTGTTCATCTTCTATATAGAAATACATTTTACAGAGGTACATTTTTATGATTAAATGCAAAATTCTCTTCTTCTTTTTACAAAGAAAAAAAAATGCTAAAAAACATTTTTAAATGAATTTTTAAAATTATATCAGGTTGAAAATAAGAAATGTCGTGAGGGGGGGGGGGGGGTCTAGATAACTGCATGACAAATAAGAACATACAATTTATGCTTGATTTCAAAATGACTAGGTTCTTCTGACAGTAAAGAATCTCTTGGGAAATGCTGAAATATTGACACTATAAAATATCTTGCTACTAGTAGACTTTTAGGAAAAGCGCTGACTTTTACATCATTTGACGGCTTACTGTTACAATAGGACAATGTACGGAAATATTAGTATGGGTAATAGTATTTCATAATAATCAAAATGTCTTTGTAGGAAACGCTTGTCAGGACACAAGACTGAAAAAGACATACTGTAAAAAGGCCTGTAAACACAGCTATCATTGAAGTCAATGGATAACCTAGGAACATCCAAGCAATATGATATCAGAGACTGGCAATTTTTATCACATAAAAATCGCACGAATTTCGTATAAATATTGTGTGAGGACATTCGCACGATTTTTACATGAAAAACTGATAATTTGGAATTCGCATGAATATCATGCAAAATTTCAGTTACATAAAAATCGCACGAATTTCGTATAAATATTGTGTGAGGACATTCGCATGAAATTCGCACGTAGAACTTTTTGCATGGTTTTTATATGATTTTCGCACGAAATTCATGCGAAAAGGTTATCGCTTGAAAATCATGCGAGCCACTGTTCCCTGTGTAGTAAGAGCACAAAACATTTGGAATTTCTTCTTTCTTTCTTTCTTTTTTTTGCAAAGCCAAAGGTTGGGAGGGGGTGGCAACCTCCGCAACTCCCCCCCCCCTCGGGATCCGCCACTGTATATATCGTATTTTACATATTTAATTCTTGTAACAAGCCCTTTTATTTGATAACAAGAACTTTTACACTTTGACCTTGACCATGGAGTTTGGCCTACTTTTAAAAAAAAAAATAATCTTGGCCATATAACTTCTGAAAGATTAGGGTAAGGGCTTCAATACTCTACATAATTAATTTTATGTGGCAAGTTCTTTCATTGGATACCAAGTAACGTAGCCTTTAGACCTCGACCTTGGAGATTTTTGTACTTTAATATTAAAAAAATACTTTAGTAATTGCCTCATACTTACAAATTTCACAATTGCTTTCAAGTGAGAATATTCTACTTTTGTTACCAATTAATTAAATTTGCATTTACGAAAAGTTAGATCTTTGCTATGTTGTCATACAGGGGCATCAGTGGCAAAATACATATCTTGTTTTTGGTCTAAATTTGTCGTAAAATTTTTCATTTTCATGCATTTTTGATCGAAACTTTAAATGCATCTTATAAACAAAAAGTACAATTGTAAAAATACCAGCTTATAAAAAGTTCTTAAATTTGTGAGATTCTCAATAATTTGATACATTTCAGCTAGTGACACAAGAGAAGAATGTGGAGTAAATGCCAATAAAGGCTCGACTGCAGGGGTATACCTGACTTCTCGGCATTTCTGCTTATCACCATCCGATTCAGAGAAGACCAACTCCAAGGTGACTCTTATGCATCGGTAAGGATTGAAATTGAATTTCATTAAAATGGACACTTGAGCATGTTAAGGGATGCAAGTGTCAATTTATTGTTATTTGTTTTTAGGTCACCTGAGTAAACTCAGGTGACCTATTGCTATCTGTTTTTGTCCGTCGTCGTGCGTGGTGCATTTGCGTTGTCCGTTAACATTTGAGCAATTTCAGCTTCTTCTCTGCAACCACTGAACCAATTTCAACCAAATTTGGCACAAAGCATCTATGGGTAAAGGGGAACAAAAATTGTGGATTTCATGGTCCCTGCCCCCCTGGGACCTAGGGGGTGGGGCAAAAACCACTAAAATTAATGCAATCTTTAAAAATCTTCCTCTTTACTCCTGGACATCAAGCAGTCAAACTGTTTGCAAGATTGTAATCAGCATTGAGTCCTCTATCAAAATTGTGAAATTCATGGCCCCAGGATCAGGGGTTCTAGTGCTAGGGCGGGGCTAAATAAGTATATAGTGAAAATGCATTATTTCTTTGAAATCTTCTTCTCTGCTCCTTGGTATTAAATAAACTAACTAAGTGCATAGTTATGATAAGCAAGAGTGCCTCTACCAAAATTGTGAATTTTATGGCCCCAAGGTCAGGGGTTCTGGTGTTAGGGCGGGGCTCTATTGATTATGAAAATGAAAATACATGAATTCTTTGAAAATCTTCTTCTCTGCTGCTTGGTATTAAATAAACTTACTAAAAGGATAGTTATGATGTGCAAGAGTGCCTCTACCAAAATTGTGAATTTTATGGCCCCAGGGTCAGGGTTCGGGTGTTAGGGCGGGGCTTTATTATGAAAATGAAAATACATGAATTCTTTGAAAAAATTTCTTTTCTGCTCCTAGAATTAAATAAACTAAGTACATAGTTATGATGAGCAAGAATACCTCTTCCAAAATTTTGATTTTATAGCCCTAGGGTCAGGGGTTCTAGTGATAGGGTGTGGCTCTATTGATTATATAGTAAAAATAAATAAAATCTTTGAAAAATTTCTTCTCTGCTCTTGGGTATTAAGCAGATGAACTACCTATGTAGTTATGATGAGCAAGGAGCCTTATCTTCCAGAATTGTGAATTTCAAGGCCCCAGGGTCAGGGGTACCATAGGGGGGATGTACTTATATACTGAAACTGGATGAATTGTTTGAGATCTTCTCCTTCGTATTAATCAAACATTTTTGAAAAGCAAGGGTGCCTTTTCAAAAATTGCGCAATGTGTGGGTCTAGGCCTAAGGGTCAGGGGTTCATGTGTGATAGGAGCATTACTGGTTATTGCTGTATATTACTGATTACTTGAAATGCATTTTTGTTCCCCCACCCTGCCTATAGGTATTAAGTAAACAAAGTAAGCTACTGCTAAGTGTATTGTTATGATGATCAATGGTACCTCTTTCAAAATTGTGAACGCCATAGCATCTGGCTTAAAACATGAATAAAATTATATCACTGGAAAGTTGTTGCATAATGCTCAGGTGACCTATAAGGCCCATGGGCCTCTTGTTAGACCTATTGCTTTTCTTTTCATCAGTTGTTGTGTGTCATCAGTAACAAATTATCCATTACTTACTGAACCATTATCAACCAAATTCGGCATGGTAAAAGTGCTTCTTAATTGATAGAATGCAAACAAACTATAAGTACTTGTAATGTACATGTATAGTTATAATGAGTATCAAAGAGTTTCATTTCCAAATTTGTACATTATATTGCCTCTGGGTACCCAGTAATAGGTTCTGATGTTATAGAAGACATATCAAAAATGTAGTAATTCTTTGACAGTCATCTTTTTCTGCTCCTAGGTACTCAGCAAATAAACTTAATGCATACATATATATTATTTTATCCTATGTTTACGCCTTTATATATGCCTATATGAGATCTTAAAGCGAGAAATGAAGTTTCTGAAATGCAAGGCAGACTTAAAGGTCAAGGTCAAAAGGTCAGAATTGTTAGCATCTGAAGGAAGGTTTTGTCATAAGGAATAAACCTTATGAATAACTTGGATAATCATAGTGGTGCTACCTCAAAATCTGCATGTGTTCAAATTAAGCAGTTTCAAATTAAGATTTAAATAAAGCTCATTAAGTCATTTGCTGTATCAGATTTTGAGATTGTACTAACTTATTGCATTTTTTTTAATATCAGTAACAGTGAAACCTTGAAGATTAGTTGTACAAATTCATATACAGATCTAAGTATTAGAATTTCCTAATACTTTTTTCAAATGGATTAAAAGAATTGAAAGTCCAATATACTAGGAAAATATATATATACTGAGTACATCACATGGATTTGATATGTATATTTTATGATATTCACATGAAATTCGCATGAAATTTATATGAAAATCTGTAAAGAAAGTAGCAAAAATATTCATATGAATTTCATGCGAATTTTTATTCGCATGATATTCGTGAGAATTTCATGTCAAAATCGCATGATATTTTCATGCGAATATCATGCGTGGTCCTTTTCGTCTCCTTTTCATGCGAAGAATTCGCACGATATTCGTGCGAATTTCATATGAAGTTCATGCGTGCTACTTTTGCCTGTGTATAGATGGGTGTTATTTTACGATAGAAAATGTTCTGTGAAAGGTTAATGCTGTAATATATAAGGAAATTCGGTTGCGAGTACAAAATAAAACCACACCCCCTTTACACAGTAAGATTTTCGGGTTCGGAGATATATTTTACTTTCTTTTTCAAAAACAATCAAGTAATTCATTCAAGTTCTTTTTCCCAGGTTGATCAATTAACCTCCCACTTTTAAAAACCGTACTCCA